AAAAAAAAAAAAAAAAAAAAAGAGTGGCCAAGCAAGGGCCTCCAGTAATAGCCACGTTTATTGGAGATCGTGGGACGGGCCGCAGGAACAGGCAGAAGGGCAAAGGGAGAGAAGAAGAGCCTGAAGTTGGAGGCACAGCTGCTGGTGGTGAAGTCGGGGGAAGAAGCTGGTGGTGGTGCTGGTGTGGAGCAGGCTCCAGGGGCTGGCACTCGGGCTCTTGGCCCAGGAAGAGGAAGATGAACCATCCATAACTCGGGCTCCCAGTTTTGAAAGGCCCAGACAGTTCTGGCTCTAGGTGCCTCCAATCCTCTCCACTGGTGTCACTGATGTGCTGCGTCAGGCTGCAGGACCTCCTAAATTGAAATATCCTTAGGGTGCTGTTGTGCCTGTAGTTGCCCAAAGGGAAGGGAGTGGCTCCCTCCACCTCCCTGGACAGGCTAACTGTACTGTTATTATAGACAAGGCCTCACTACGTAGTTAAGGCTGGCCTTGAGTTCACAGCAATACTCCTGCCTCAGCCTCCTGAGGGCTGGGATTACAGGTGTGTGCCACTGTGCTTGGTTTACCAACCCATTAAATTTAATGCTCACAAACTTTGATGTGGATATAATTATCATTTTCACTTACAAATAAGGAGGCTAACAACTATCCGAGGTTTACAGGAGACAATACAGAGAATACACCTGACTGGCTTTAACCTCTAGGTCAATAGCTTTTTCTTTTTGGTGCCAGGGATCCAACTCAGGGCCTTGCACTTGTAAGATAGGCAGCAGAACCACTAAGCTAAATCCCTGGCCCTCAACTGACTTTTCACATGAGACACATCCAACAAAATGCAAGGAATGTTTATTGAGGAACCGCTGTGGACAGAACACTAATGAGATGAGGGTAGGGGCTCATGAATCCAGTCCCATTGTTGGGGAGTTGAGGCTTTCTGCCAGGCCCGGTGGCACACACCTGTAATCCTAGCATGACTGAAGAGAGAGTTCGAGGCCAACCTGGGCTACACAGTGAGTTCAGGGCCAGCCTGAACTACACAGTGAGACCCTGTCTCAAAAAACAAAACAAAGCCGGGCATGGTGGAGCATGCCCATAATCCCAGCACTCAGGAGGCCGAGGCAGGAGGATGCTGTGAGTTGAGACCAGCCTGGGCTACATAGTGAGTTCCAGGTCAGTCTCAATGACATAGTGAGACCCTGTCTCAAAAAACAAAACAAAACAAAAAAAGTGGGACTTCTTTTTTTTTTTTTTGGTATGGGGAAAAGTGGGACTTCTTGATCTGAGAGCATCTGAAGGATGTGCTGGACTCCAACAGATGGTGGGAAAGAGAGGCCCTCTCAGAGCTGAGGAAGGGCAGGCAGTGAGTGCATGGCAGCAGAAGAGGCAGCTGGGGCTCCTAGGGGGCAGCTCCACAAGGCTGGGCTCTAAAGCTCAGTGGAGGCCAGGCCGAGATGGAGACCTGGGGCCCTGAAGCTACGGGCAGAGAGCAGCCGAGCAGCCGGGTCTACCATGAAGCCGTGCCCAGCGGGTGGGCGGGGGCCTGCAGGGGAATCGAGATGCAGCACAGCTGGCACTGGAACTGAGCCCAGGGCACTGTTGCAGCCCACAGCCTACGGAACTCAGTTCCCAGAGCCAGGTGGCCAGGGCGCTGAGCCCACATGCTGCCCTCCTGTGCTTCCCCTCACACCCAAGGTGAGCAGGGGGAGGACCAGAGAGAACCCAGAGCCCGAGCTCTCGAGGTACTTCCCACCCAGGGGCACATTAAGCTTGGAGCCGAGTGCGGCCACAGCCAGGAAATGCACAGGGTGCCTAAATCTGGTGATCCAGGCGCGGGGTTCAGGCAGAAAGCCTCAACTAGCCAACAGTGGGACTGGGTCTCGTCAGTGTTCTGTGCACAGCAGTTCCTCAATAAACGTTGCTTGCATTTTGTTGGATGTGTCTCGTGTGAGAAGGCAGCTGACCTAGAGTTTAAAGCCCATCAGAGGTATTCTCTGTACTGTAAACCTCGGTCAGTTGTTAGCCTCCTCCTCTGTGAGTGAAAACAACAACTATATCCCCAGGGACTGGAGTAGGGGACTCAGGGACTCGGGATGCTGGCAGCGACTGCCTCTCCAGCATACTGACTGCAGTCAGTGCTGTCATCTCCTGCACAGAAATGTGCCCAGTGCAGCCAGGCGTGGGCTGGGGAAACAGCCAGAATACACACACGTGGAAAGGGCATCTCTCTGCAGGCCCAGGGGCTTCCTAGTTCAAAGGGGATCCCCAAGGTGGGAGTCCAGAAGCCATGGCTCCCTGAAAAATCTCCCACTTGGTCTTAGTTTGGGAAAGCTGAGTCAAGAAGAGAGGCTTCCCAGAGACACACCTCTGTTTTCTGGAGAGTGAAATCAGTGTGGGTGCTGTGCTCACTCCCTGGACAGGGGCAGCCAAGCCAGCCAGCGGCTCCGAGCCACCCCAGCCACGCCTAGGTGAAGGAGCAGTGCTTACTGCAAGCCTGGACTCTGCAGCGGTGCTTGGGGAGAAGTCGGGGGGCCTTGAACACCCCCCACCCCACACTGGTTCTTCTGAGACAGGAGGAAGGTGTGGGAGGGCCAGGTACCTTGCCCACAAGCCCTTTCCGCCCTCAAGCTAGAATGGACCCCTCTGTTTTTTCTTGGTTTTTTTTTGGTACCGAGGATTGAACTTGGGCCCTTGTGCTTGCGAAACAGGCAGTGGAACCACTGAGCCAAATTCCCAGCCTGACCCCTCTGTTTTGAAGTGTCCCTTTCCTCACCTGACTCTCAAGAAAGTTTTTTTTTTTTTTTGGTACCAGGAATCGAACTCAGGTCTTTGTGCTTGCAAGGCAGGCAGAAGAACCACTGAACTAAATCCCTAGTCCTCCTCACCTGTCTCTTGCTATGCCTTCTTTACCCTTGGGATCAGCCTGATGGTTCCTTCTCTCTTCAGAGCAGAAACAGTGGCCCTCCGTGCTGATTCAGGCCCAACAATCTGAGGCAGGACAGTGGAGAACTCTCACGCAGGGGGCACTTCCATGTAGGCTCCCAGACACCAGCTGCAAAAGCCACATGAGGGGATGAGGAGAGGACGCACAGCTCTCGCCCTTCAGGGGCAGCCCTGAAAGAGCAGCTGGAGTTGTTCCTGCGGGAGGAGGGAGGGACTAAGGGAAGGGTCAGCAGGAGTCCTGGTAAGGATAGGCTTTGTCCAGTGCCCACCCCAGCCACCCATGCCTGTCCTGTGTCTGCTTCCCCTACTCTGTCTTTCGGCCCCAGAACCTGACCCCTGCCTCGCGGAATCAGGCCTCCCCTGGGTCTAAGTCTCCACCTAAGAGAGCTTCCCCTCACCCTTCTCTTAGATGCTCAGAAGCTTCTTTCTGACAGCGAACTGCACACAGCTGCCGTCAGAGATGCAGGGAAGGTTCTGGAAAAGGGAAGGAACAGTGCCAGGGATGGGTGCAGGGATCTTGAGACAGGCTCGGGGCAGCTCCACAGAGGAAACCTGGAAGTTCGGGAAAGCAGGCGGTTGTGGGAGCCCGGCCGTGGCCCTCTAGGAGTTTGACATTTAAAAGGAAACTTCTTCACCTCTACACTCAAGGCATTGATACAATCTGTAACATTCTAGGACTCTGCTTGTTAAACTTGTTGCTGCAACGGAAGAAACTCAAGGAGACAGCCAAAGATCTGATGTTCTTTGCAAAGAGTCAGAAAATCCGGTCTTTGCATAAAAGATACAAATAGTTGCTTGGTGCTTCCTGTTGATGTGAACCTATAAAAGGAGCTGTTTCTGTGAAATAAATCAGACTTCTCTTCGTCTCCGCTCAGGTTTGAGTGTTCTTTCCTTTCTCAATCCTCACTCCCCGACTCAGGCGTGTTCGTGTTGTGACGGCTGGACCGCCACAGGCGGTGAGGAGCAGGAGTCATCCATTCCATTGTGCAACTGGAGGCGGGAGGGGGAAGAGTTGAGGGATGGCTGCCAGAGGCCTGGGGCTGACAGGTGGCTGCCACCCCCTTCCTAGGGCATTGGCCAGAGTTCAAAGTGGCTGTCACTCGGCCACCCCTCATTAACTCCAGCAGTGCCAGGCTGGCAGCAGCAGCTGGTGTTTTATGGAAGAACCAAAGCCAATTATGTGCTCCTTTCCTGCCCCTTCCCCAGCAGCCAACCACCCACTCTTTGTGAAGCCAGAGGGCTGTGTGTGTGTGTGTGTGTGTGTGTGTGTGTGTGTGTGTGGTGTGAAGGACATGGGTGGAACAGGGAGTAATAATCCCTTTCTCCGTATCTTGGCACTGCCTCCATCCCCAGAAAGGAGAAGATGGAATTTTCTCCTTTGGGCTGAGAGTTCGAGTCCTTTGCTCCCTATGAGACTAGGACTGACTTGAGTGGACCAACTTTCTCTTATGACGAATTCTGGGGTTCCCAGGAAGGGATGGCTGTGGGCTTCCCCACAGGGCAGTCCTGGGAAGCCAAAGCCTTGCTGGGTCCTGGTACACAGCCCTCCAGCCCTACATTAGCAGTTCTGCCCACAAGGACATGAGGGCACTGGGGTGGGCTCCGGTCGATCCTCAACTGGGGCACCTAGTGCAAACCAAGGTCCCAACCTTGTGACCACCCTAATCTTGTGGAGATAGTGGTTAAGGCAATGCCGAGGACAGACAGGTCAAGGAAGCTAGCATTTAAGAGCTGACAAATAGTCAGGTGAGGTGGCCTGTAATCCCAGCACTCGGGAGGCTGAGGCAGGAGGATTGCTGAGAGTTTGAGGCCAGCCTGTGCTACAGAGTAAATCCAACCCCAGCCTAAACTGCATAGTGAGCTCTGTCTAAAAAGGGAGAGGTGTGGGGGGTTTAAAGCTAGACTGACCGCGAAGGGGGAGCAAGGCTGAGGCTGGAGTGTGGGGAAGAACACTGGTCTTGTAATAGGGGCCACCAGATCCAGCGGGCCATGGAAGGGCAACACAGACAAGGAGGAACGAGGAGGAGAAAATCTGTAGGGTTTTACCGCAGGTATCCTGAAGGCGAAGGAAATAAGACGGACAGGAAGACCCAAGAGTGCACCCAAAAAGTTCTGCGCCTCTGGCGGAGAGAAGGAACAACAAACCCGCAGCGCACACCGCATAATGAGTCTAGCCACTGCCCGGACCTCCTCGAATCGCTCCTCCCACCTCTCAACAAAAATGGCCGCCGTGGGAGCCCGTCCAAAGCCCCAAAACGCTGCAGAAACCGGCGGAAGCCCCGCCCTGTCGCGGGCAAATTGCCCTTCTCAAAAATGGCCACTGCGGCATCTCTGGAAGGGAGCCGCTCTGGGCCCTGCCTTTTGATCTCGTTGGCGGGCTGGGAGGGGGATGAGCGCTTTACCGCGCGAGACTAATCGCCGGCAGCTTCCAACGGAGCAGGTGATTCCCCTTCAGCCCCCGGCCCAGGGATTGGGGTGTCGCGGAGAGCGCTGATCCGGGGTACCGTCCCGTGGGTCCCCACGGAACCCCCCTGAACCCTCCCTGTGATCCTGTCCGTGGCCTGTATCAAGGCACATCTCTGCTCAGCCTGTCGCCTTGGGCCCCTGGCTGAATCGCGGTGCCCTCGGGCACACATTCTGGACGCCTAAGGGCGCGCGCTTCCCGCGCTGCTGCTCCCCTGCTCCCCTCCTTGTCCTTGGCGTCCGAAGGCCGCTCCTGAAGGCCAGGGGAGAGTGGTGTCTTACGAGGGCCTCCTTCTGGATCTAGGACCCGGGAGCCCGGAGAAGCAGTGAAGACCTCGGCGCTGCCCCCTCACCCCGCTCCCGGGAGCCTTCCGCACCGGGCCCACGGCCTGCGCTCAGTCCCCGTCACCTCCCCACCCAGGGGAGCAGCCGCCCAGAGGGACTCGGCGCGCTCGGCTGCCTTCGGGCAGTGAGGATAGGGTAGGCTGCAGAGAAGTGAGTCTTGCTGAATGGGCTCGGGAGAGAAGTTCTGAGCACCGAGAATGGTGTGAGCGGATTCCTCAGTAGGCGGGATGCCGGGCGGAGAGGACCCTCACGCAGATCGGGCCACACCGTTGGCGTCGGGACATCCGTGGTGGTGGCTAACTGGGCTCAGACTGCTTGGGTGTTACCTGGCCATTAACTTGCTCTGTGGCTTTGGGCAAATTATTTAACCTACCAGTTTCCTTTCAGGTAAAATAAGGATAATATTAGTATCCTCATTTTAGGGTTGTGGGGGTTAGGTGATGAAATATTGGTAAAATGCTTTGAGTCATGTTTGGTAAACAATCGAAAATGACAGTAATAATTCCGTAGCCCCCTGCTCTTGGTAAGAAACTCAGAGACATTGGGCCAGGTGTGGTAGCACATTATTCAGAAGGCTGAGGCAGGAGGATTGCAAGTTCAGACAGTTGGGGCCACTTAGTGAGACCCTGTATCAAGATAAAAAATAAAAAGGGTTGGGGATGTAGCTCAGTGGTAGAGTGCCCTTGGTTTGATCCCCAGTCCTGATTAAAAAAACAAAAACAAAAAACAAACATTAGACATACCCTGAAGAAGTTTCTCTACAAACTGCTTTCCTAAGCAGTGTGGGTCTCTATCCTGCAGAGTTGCCACCCCCTGCCAGCTGTGAGGGTCTCTGCAGGGGGCCTGTGTGGTTGGGGTCTGGTACAAGGCTAAGGTTCTGAAGCTGGAGGCCGACATTGTGGCGGGGCTCACTTAGTCTTTCTTTCTAAAGGGACCCCTGCCAGGCTCAGGCTTGTAGCAAATTTGGGGACAACCAGGACTACATAGCAAGACCTTGTCTCAAAAAAAAAAAAAAAAAAAAAAAAAAAAAAAAGAAAAAGAAAAGAAAAGAAAAGTGACTCCTCACCAGTAGTTGTTACCACTTGGGCAAGCACTTGTGATCATAGACAGGAGCCCTGACCCAGCCCAGCCCCAGTGAAGTCCTTAGAGTAGACGCTGAACTGGGAAGCTCTAGACTTATCACCCCACCCCACCCCATTTGTGATTGAACCCAGCCTCTTGCATGCAAGGCAAATGTTTTATCACTGAGCTGACCCCAGCCCTAGGCTTAGCTCTTGACTGCCACAGTTAGCCCTGATGACTTCAGCTTCATCTTCATCCAGGAGGTGGGGAGTAACTGCTAATTGAGTGCCTACATCTGGGGGATGCTGAATGTTCATTGTTGAATAAACCAGGTTTATGTATAGTCCCTGCCTTTATGAAACAACTGGAAAAAACGTTAAACATTATTGTCCAAAAATAATTCATTCGTTATAGCTGTGAAAAATCCTGCCAAGTGAAAAATAGAGCAGTCTGCAATGGGGTATGTGGGGTGTAAGGTGGTGGTAACTGGGTCAGTTCTAGAGGGTAAGAGGCTTGAATGTTGGTGAATTGAAAGCCAGCCAGGTAGAGGACAGTGATCCTGGGAAGGGCATGGTTTATCATGGGGATGGAGAGAGAGAGGCAGGGGCACAGCCCTGACCGAGGGCCATACAAAGGCTCTACATGGGGAATACTTATCCAGAAGGTGGTGGGAACTAGGCATGGTGCCCACATCTGTAATTTCAGCACTCTGGAAGGCTGAGGCAGGAGGATTACAAATTGGAGCCCAGCCTGGGCAACCTGGCAATTTAGCAAGACCCTGTCTCATAAAAAAGGGAGGGGAGGTACAGCAGTGTGAAGGCCCTGGGTTCAATCCCCAGTTCTAGCAAAAAAGTTTTTAAGGAAGAGAAAATAGAACCTTTTGTAAAGCTCTTGTGTGGACATAGGTTACTAGAGGGAAGATGGTAGTAAGAAGAGTTAGAAAGCTCTTGCAGGCAAGAAATGGAGCAGAGCTAAATAGAAAACTGAAAGTGCTGAGGGGAAAAGATAGAGGCTCGATGAGTGAAGGCAGTGGGAAGGGGCGTATCCAGGAGAGTTCCCAGACCTAGACGCTGCGTGTCTGTACCTGTGATCCCAGCACTCAGGAGGCTGAGGGAGGAGGATCTCTGCAAGTTCAAGCCCAGGCATAGTGAGACCCTGTCTCAAAACAAAAAGCAAAGCAGAAATAAACCAAAAAAGTATGTGGAGGGCTGGGGATTTAGCTCAGTGGTGCTGCCATCTGCCTTGCACACGTAAGGTCCTGAGTTCGACTCCCAATACAAAAAAAAGTTTCTGTGGCTTTGGAGGAGTACAAATATTAATCAGATGTTGCTTTGGGACATGGTAAGTGTTGTGTGCCTGTTGGATGTCCACATGCAGTATCTGGGAGGTAGAGGTACAAGTATGTTCCTCAGAGTAAGGGACTGAATTACAAGGTTGGATATCTGGGAGTTGGCAGTTTAGTGCGAGGAATGTGGACCCAGTTGAGATCTTTTTTCCCCCCCCATTAAATTTATTGCTACATTTAAAGCAAACAATACAGTTACATTTATCATTGGTATCTTGTTTTTTTGTTTGTTTGTTTTTTGAGACAGGGTGGTGCTATGTTGTCCAGGTTGGCCTTGAACTCCCTATGTAGCCTAGGTTGGCCTGGAACTTGAGGGGAGAGATCCTCCTGCCTCAGCCTCCTGAGTGCTGGGATTACAGGCATGTATCACCACGCCTGACTTCCAACAGAGATCTTGCAGAGCCAGAAGACTAAGAGTGAGAAGAAAGAGGTGGTGGCCTTGAGGCTGAAGTGGGTAGCAGGGAAGGAGACACATGGTGCCAGGGGGGAAATAGAGAGGTAGAGGAAACACGGAGAACGTGATGACTCAGACACCATAGTTGGTGTTGCCTCAAGTGCATCTGTGAGAAGGCCCGCCCCCTATGGTAGCTGAAGACCACGCAAAAGTTGGCAGCTCAGAGGGCTCCACCTTATCAGACCAAAACCTAAAAATATGGCTGATGAGCGGCCCCTGGCAGCAGTGGATAGAACAGAGGGTGAGGGAGTGGGCGAAGTCCAGGTAATCTGCACTTTAGGGTTGGATGCTGGTGTGGGGTGTGAACTGTGGCACCCTGAGCCTCCACAGTGCTAAGTGGAACTGACTGACACCTTCTTTACTGCCTCTGCACTCCTGACTCCCATGTATGGGCTCCTGGGAGTTCGGAGATGTATGGATAGGGATGGAGCAAGAAACAAGCTAGGCGTGGTTGTACATGCCTGTGATCCCAGCATTTCAGGAGGCTGAGGCAGGAGGATTGCTGTGAGTTCAAGGCCAGCCTGAGCTACACAGTGAGACCCTGTCTCTGGAAAAAAAAAAAAAAAAATCAACAAGCAGTTACCGAGCACCTGTTGAGGGCACACATTTTCCTCTACCAGTACACGTGCTGCTGAAGCAAGCACTCTGGGGCTCCACTAGCGATGAAGACAATGTCTGCCTCCATTCTCCGAGCTTCCCTAACTCTGCAGGGGAGATGGGCCGTGGGCAGTGCACCATGACATCTGGAGTGTGGGGAGTACCTGTATGGTTACACAGGGAAGGTCTCTGGGCAGGTGACCCTCGAACACAGACCTGCAGAGGTGAAAGCGAGAGCCTGCGGGGGCTGGGGAGGCAGATGGGAAGAAGCTGGGCAGGTGTGAGGAGCCAGGACTGGAATGGAGGAAATGAGGTGTGCCCAGGCTAGGTCTTGTGGGGCCTGCAGGCCTGGGGTGCAGCTGGAAAGTCCTTTGGAGGACCCCAGCTGCTGGAGGGACAGGGACTGGGCAGGAGGGGAAACTCCATGAAAGACTTTCCCTTTCATCTGAGCCCCAGAGCCAGAAAAGCCCCTTTGTGCAGAGGGTGGATGGGCTGTCCAGTGGGAGAGGGCCGCCCATTGCCCTGAGGCCTGCTCCAGGGGGCTGGACAATGGAGCTCCTTGTGGTTGGACTTGAGGGCCGAGTGGCGCCCTCAGTGACAAGATTCCTCAGCCAGGAGGCACGTGGCCCCAAGACCTGGGCTCACCAGGGGCTAGGCCTGCTGCCAGGGCGAGGGATGGAGGACAGGGGCAGCCTCCTGCTGACAGTGCTGCCCCTGTCTCAAGATGGAGATGGTGGCGGAGGGGCTGTGGCTATGCTAACAGCAACCGATGTCACCCAGTGGGTGGGGAGAGGGAGCCGCTGCCCCCAGGCCTGGTGAGGGGCAGGCAGAGAGGGTCTAGCAATTCTCCGTCTTGTGTCCCACCAGAGGAGGAGTGAGGAGGGCATGGAGCTGGAGCGGATCGTCAGTGCGGCCCTGCTTGCCTTTGTGCAGACACAGCTTCCAGAGGCCGACAGCAGGTAGAGGACCAAGCCAGGGCGGGGTTGCTGCTGCCAGTGGTGCCTGGGCCCTGGCTGATGGAAGGACAGGAAAAATCACCCAGCCCTGCTCCTGAGGTGGGGCGGATTCGAGGGATGGCCTTGCCTCTGGTCCTGTCACCTTGTTGGACAGGTGGAAACGGAATCCCTGAGGGAGGGGGTACTCCCTGGCCTCAAGGACCGAGGCCTGACTTAGGGTACCCCCACGAGGCCTGTCCTGTGTCCTGATCCTGCAGTGGCTTGGATGATGTCATCTTCTCCTACGTGCTGGGGGTGCTGGAGGACCTGGGCCCCTCTGGCCCATCAGAGGAGAACTTCGATATGGAGGCCTTCACTGAGATGATGGAGGCCTATGTGCCTGGCTTCGCCCGCATCCCCAGGTGGGTCCTAGCTGGGGCCAAGAGGAGGTGGTGGCAGGTTGCGGGCATGGGCAGAGGGTCCTCTCACCGCCTTCCTTGTCCTTTCAGAGGCACAATAGGGGACATGATGCAGAAGCTGTCAGGGCAGCTGAGTGATGCCAGGAACAAAGGTGAGTCGAGCTCTGACCCTTGGTGACTCATAACCACCTCCCCCAGTTCCAGCAAGACTGATGCCCTCTCTGCCTCTTTAAGAAAACTTGCAGCCACAGAGCTCTTGTGTCCAAGATCAGGTACCCATCTCCCCGAACCCCCTGCAGCGGCCTGAAAATCTCACAGAAGAGACCAGGGATACGCAGGATGAGGTAAAAGTACTGGCGAGCAACTGGGGGCAGGAAAGGAGGAAATGCCTCTTATCAGCGTCAGCTTGTCAACATTTGTGCCCACAGGCGGCTGGCACTGAGGAGGAGTTGATGCCAGGGGTGGATGTGCTCCTGGAGGTGTTCCCTACCTGTTCGGTAGAGCAGGCCCAGTGGGTGCTGGCCAAAGCTCGGGGGGACTTGGAAGAAGCTGTGCAGATGCTGGTGGAGGAGAAGGAGGGGCCTCCAGCCTGGGACGGCCCCACTCAGGTCTATTCTCCCACAACCCCTTGTAGCCTCAGCTGCATTCCCTGGGTGTTAAACCCCCACCCCTCTGTCCCCTTGTTCCCCTCTTGGTGCCGTCCGACCTAGACTAGGCTGCCCCTCTCCACAGGACCTGCCCAGGCGCCTCAGAGGTCCCCAGAAGGATGAGCTGAAGTCCTTCATCCTGCAAAAGTGAGTCTGGGTGGGGCTGGGCAGGACCCTGGAGTCTTCCGGGGTGGCAGGAGCTTCACCCAGCTGGTTTCGGGCAGGTACATGATGGTGGACAGTGCAGAAGACCAGAAGATCCACCGGCCCATGGCCCCCAAGGAGGTGAGAGGGTTGGGACAGCTGGGGATGTGGGGTGGGGAGGGGTTCCTCCTGCTCACCACTTGATCCCCAACAGGCCCCCAAGAAGCTTATCCGCTACATCGACAACCAGGTAGTGAGCACCAAAGGGGAACGATTTAAAGATATGCGGAACCCTGAGGCCGAGGAGATGAAGGCCACATACATCAACCTCAAGCCGGCAAGAAAGTACCGCTTCCACTGAGGCATTCACTGGACTCTGCCTGAGCCAGCTAGGCTCAGACCCCAGGGGAAAGTGGGAGACCTACTCGTGCCCAGGCCACCCTCAGCCGCCTCCGTTCTCCCCCATCCCCATCTGTTACTCTACTTCCTCGCTCCATAGTATGGACCTAGTCCTGGAGCTGTTCTGCAGGCACAGTAATAAAGGTGGACAAGGAAAGTGTGTGTGCATTCTGCATCTCGGTCATTTCCACCTCCTGTCTGCCCTTCCCAACCCAGCTCCACGCACCAGGCAAAAGACGGCAAAATGTCTTTATTTGAGGTTCCAGGGTGGGGCAGGGCTCCCACAGTCCAGTCTCCCCGCAGCCCTGTGCCAGGCCGCCCCACACAGTTCCACCGGCTCCCCAGACAGGAAGTCAGACCTGCAAGTTGACAAAGGGCGCGAAGCCCGCCATGTCCTGCAGGAGCACCAGAGCCTGGTGCGGCGGGGGCTCCACGTCGATGTCCACTCCTCTTTTCCGCAAGCGGCTCAAACTGGGCTCCGCCACGTGGTGGCAGTGCCGCACCCGCAGCGAGCGCAGCGCTGGGCAGTACTCGGCCAGCGTCCTGTGCAGAGGGGGCGGTGAGGCTTGGAGCCAGAGGGCCCCACTCCCGCGGAGAGACTTGCGACCCACCTCCGCTGGCTCTGGCACACCCCAGATCTCTGCAGCTCAGAGTGCACTCCCTCCACCCCCGACCCGGGAGGAGGTCAGATGGGGTCAGACGCTTCAGGCCTCCAGGGTCCCGGAGCTTCCCGGGTGTGGGAGAGGGACCAGGACGGAGGAGCCCCTCAAGATCCCCCAGACGGAGTCCGAATCTCCCCGCGTGTGCACACGTGTTGGCTCCCTGGCCTGCAAGACCTCGCGGCTCTGTGCTCAGAGGAGGCGCCCTCTGCCAGCAGCCCGCCTGCCCCGCTGCCTCCCGCACCTGATGCCGTCGCTTCCGACGCGGAGGCAGCCGGTGAGATCTAGGTGCTCCAGGCGAGGGCAGTTCCGGGCCAGCTCCTGGACCGCGGTGTCGCCCACGTTGGCGTTGACAGCCAGCGAGAGGCTGCGGAGGCCTGATCCGCGCCGCCGCGCCAGGTACATGATGGCCTCGTCCTTGAGCTGGCGGCAGGCGGTGAGGTCCAGCTCCTCCAGCG